GTCGGGGGAAACTGGGAGGAGTGAGGAGCAGCCCTGAGGCGCCCCTCGACACAGGGGACACAGGAAGGTCCTGGTCCCGAAGGAAGGGGAGGGAGAGACTGGGGAAGACCAGAGACAAGGACACGGGAAGCCATGCCCCGAAGACGGGGCAAGGAGGGGTGGCCTAGACGGTGGTGCCACAGAAGAGTCTCGTGAGACAGGAGGCGACACGAACAGGGGGCAGACTCAGGACCAGACCTGGACGCAGCAGCAAACACCTGACCCGACGCTGCTACCTGACCGGACGCGGGGACAGGAGGAGACTCAGTGGTCAGGGTGTAGAGGCTCGACCCCGGCCGACGCGAGAACGTGGCCAGGTGCCGGCCTGTGCGTGCGTCCGTGCAGTGGGTCACCCGCTGACTCGCAGGAGTGAACTGGTGAACCCCCGCATCCTGTAGGTCTGCACCACTCACCAAGTTCGTCGAGAACGAGGGGAGGTACAGGCCAGACAAGGTGCCCGAGGGGGCAGCCGGACACGGGAGGACAGTGGAGAAGTGAGCGAGGACAGGACCCCCAGAGGGGTCAGCCAGGGAGACAGCAACCGGCCGACCAAGCGGCGTGAGTGTGGTGCGGTTTCGAAAGAAGGAGCGAGAAGCCCCAGAGTCAAGTGTAAAGGTGAGGGAGGCCGAAGCCAACGCGGTACCTGAGAGCGCAGCCTCACCCGCACCTGAGGAAGCAGACTCACTAGCACCTAGAGCAGCAGCCGCACCTGTACCTGGAGCAGGAGACTCACTAGCACCCAGAGCAGCAGCCTCACCACTAGCTAGAGCAGCAGGTCCTATACCTGGGTCAGGCGGGACGCACAGGTGACCGGCACGGTCAGCACTAGTAGGCAATGCATACATGGCAGTGAGAATAGCATCATAGTCAAGAGCATATATATCTACCCTCTGCCTAAGCAACTCCACCCAGTCGGGAAGCTCAGCCTCGTCGCCAAACACGGTACGCCAGGCGTCGCTCAGACGGGCGAAGCAGCGGGACTGTGTATGACTACGTGTCCCACAAGGCTGACCAGTCCGAGTACCCGTGCGAATCACGTAAGAGCAGCGAACAGCACTGAGAGACCCTCCACTCTGAGCGTACCACTCACGAAGCTGGCGAGGCGTGAGAGACACGCGAGAGGGTCGCGGGAGCTGCATTTGGCCGCCACCACGAGTAGAAGCAGCAGGAGTGGAAGTAGGAGTAGCGTCGCCACCCCTACAGCCCCAACCAGCGTACCACTCACGCAGCTGCTGGGGCGTTAGGGACTCACGCAGGCGTCGCTGGGGCTGCATCTGGCTCCGCAAGTAGAAGCAGGAGCAGGACTAGCAGCAGGAAGGCAGGCAGCCAGGCAAGCCAAAAGGCAGGCAGGCAGGCAAGCAGGCGACGCGCAGCGTGCTAGCAGGGCAAGAGCTCACCAGTGGTGGGAAGAGTAGGCTCGGCGACTCAGCGGCTCGGCAGCTCGGCGGCTCGGCGGCTCGGGCGACTCGGGCGGCTCGGCGGCAAGGCGGCTCGGCAGCAACTGCAGCTCAGCAGCTCGGTGACTCGGCGGCTCGGCGGCAGGGCGGCTCGGCAGCAACTGCAGCTCAGCAGCTCAGCGACCCGGCGGCTCGGCGGCAGGGCGGCTCGGCTGCTGGGCGGCTCGGGTGCAGGGCGGCTCGGCGGTGGGGCGGCTCGGCTGCTGCAGGTGAGCGATGAAGGAGGAGGAGAAGCAGGGGAGGCCACACACCTGCCACCCCTCTGCTGGCCTCTCCCGTCGCCTGTCGAGGCGACCTGAGGGGGCCGGGTGGGTGGTGGGGGCCGGTAGGTGCAGCGGCGGGGCCAGCAGGTGCAGTTGCGGGGCCGGTAGAAGGGGACGGCAGGAGCCGTCAGGAGGGGACGGTGGGGCCGTCAGGAAGGGACGGCGGGGCCGTCACGAAGGGACGGCGGGGCCGTAAGGAGGCGACCGGGCCGCGACGGGGGCAGGCGGCGGGGCCGCGTAAGGGCCTGGGCGGGGCCGCGACAGAGCCGTCGGCGGGGCCGCGTGAAAGCCGGGGCGGGGCCGCGTAGAAGCCGGGGCGGGGCCGCGCGAGAGCAGGCGGCGGGGCCGCGAAGGATCCGGGGCGGGGCCGCGTGAGAGCAGGCGGCGGGGCCGCGTAAAGGCCGGGGCGGGGCCGCGACAGAGCCTGCTGCGGGGCCGCGTGAGAGCCGGCGACGGGGCCGCGTAAGGGCCGGCGGCGGGGCCCCGTCAGAGAGGGCGGCGGGGCCGCGTCAGTGAAAGCGGCGGGGCCGCAGGGAAAATGACGACCCGAGGGGTCGCTAAAAAAAATCGCGCCTCGGGGGGCGCTTCGGTGGGCCCAAAAAAAAACGGTCCGTAGAAGGACCCGCTCTATACCATGTGAGAATAAGCGAACAGGAATGAATGAACTAGCAGTGAAGTGAGTACAAGTAGGAAACCCTAGAATTGTGTACCCCCTATAGGCTAACCCACTGTAGCCTACACAAGCAGAACATATATAATGTTTGACAATAAGTGCTTTGCTCCAATTAGAGGCGCATGCACATCTGATAGGCATAGTATGGGGTATGGCAGGAGATTAAAAAATGTGACAGCATATTTTCACCCTATTGCACATTATTCCTTGTCCATTGAGCGCCGGAATATGCTTTTTTTGGTGTTTCGGAAGGGCCTACAGCATTGGATGCTGAAAAGTTTGTGGCGCTTTTCCCTCCCTTGTCAAAGCGTTTATGCCTAATTCAATAGGCCTGCAATATCAAATAGTGCCCTTAGGATGCTCTTGTTGGTCTCGACCCGGCGTCAAATTCCTTCCGTTGGCTCTTGAGACCTTTGGGTCCCTCGGGAAATCATTCCAGGATTTCCCCAGAGATTGCAGCCGCCATGGAGCATGCGCCAATGTGACATGAGTGGCTTCTCCGACCTCCTTCCGCAGCTGTTCGAAACTAGCTTCTAGAAGCGCATCTCCCCCGTCCATCAGCGCGAGCAGGCCTGCACGATCTGCAGGCGGGCGCAGGTTTGGTTCACGGTTGGTTCCAGCATTGGCACTTTGGAGGTTACCCCCCCGTCAGCGGCGGACTTTCCGTACCCGGGGAACGATTTCTGAATCATTTAGAAGTGGGACTACCATTGCTGTTTTCTTTGTGTTCTTAGGTAGGATCTTAACCCTTAACCCATGTACCTTTGTACTTATATTGTCAATAAAGGTGGTCTCAGCCATCTGCCTAGCTATAAGTTTGACAACGTCGAGACTCCTCAAAATGCATCAGGTGCTGTAATGCATTATATGTTAGTGCATTCTCTCAAACTGCGCCACCTCCCCAGAACCACCTCCCCCAGTCAGCCTTTCCCGCCTTCCTTTTCCCCCTCGCCCAAGTATCCCTCCCCCATCACAAGCCTTTTTCCTGGTTCCCCCGCCCGCATCCACTGCGCTTCTGCTCACAAGCCTTTTTGCCGGTTCACTCACTCAGGAGGGACGCTCCGCAGGGAGCAGCCCTTTCCTTCCCTGCCCCTGTCAAGGCCTCCCTCTCTCCGCCGACATTCGATGAGCTCGATCCCGTTTTGTTCCTCCCGAGCCAAGCCGCACCAACCTACTCGTTTGGGTTCTTGCACGGTCAGGCCTTCGTCCTTGACAGTGAGGCTACGTTCCAATGAGGACTCGTTCGACACTCGGATGAACCCTTGCCCATTTGCGCATGGAAGTTGTAGTGCAGTCGAGTTAGAAAATCATTACAGTAGTTCCGGACCGAAATTGGTCACTCCGATGTAACCGCTCAATGGGGACCCGCATCTGTTGATGACCCCCCCCCTCCCGTTTCTCTGAGAACCTCCATCAAGTCCAAAAAGATCGCACGCATTCTTCGCAGATCCACGACACAGCCAATAACTGAGCCGCTCGCCACGGCAATCCCAATCTCAGATCACAAATCTCGATGTGCTGTACCGTCGGTAACCAGATTGGGCCATTGAGAACAGATAAAAGCAGGTAGAACAATTTCGAAGTACACCTTCATTCTCGTTAGACTGGCATACGTTATACTGACCGCGACGCTTAGTGTAGCCGCAGCGGACCAAAGAAGGTCCTATCACATGCGTTATACTGACAGTTTGACCCAGGGCGTTTAGTCAGGGTTCTATACGTTCTAGAATGGTACTGCTGTTTTCTAAACTGTTAAGACAGTTATTCAGCGTTAACGGAAATTTACGGCCCAAGTCTGGTTTCGTCGCCTCGTGCGACTTGGCCCGCAACCGAGTTATCTCACCAGCCCGCTACGTCCAAACACTGTAGCCACTGCTTCCGCCGGTGAGAAGACTGACAATGAGGGTGTACTTCGAATGCATTTCGTTTTCACTCCTAAGTGTAGTCCTTCCCAACCAACCTAACTGCTGCTAACAACTAAATACCTCGTTCCTAGAACCAGCAGAATTCGTGTTAGGAACCAACCAGGCGAAAACTTTTCACGGCAAATTTCTCGCGTGTAGCACCTCGAAGGCGAATTGCCAGGATAGCTCGTTCAATAGCAACCGTACTATCGTACTGCTGGCCCATATTTCGAATCTTGCTGATGTCACATCACATACCATCGGCCTTAGTGGGGTCCTGCTAGGGCCTGTAGCGTCATCATGGCAGCTTCGACGCAGGAGACAGCACCGCATTCTAGAACGCTCGACTATGGCAGGTGAATATGGTCTTTAATGCACACCCTGTTGCTCGTATAGGTCCTCACGCCATTTTATTCGTCATCGGGATCTCCGTCATATGACCGCACGCCACTCCGCGTGGCCACGTAGCTTCGTCTCTTGTGTCATCACCTGCTGTTTGAAATCTGGTCTAGTAACGTCAATTCGAGTGTTTGCTGACGCTTCAAGGTGCAGTCTTCCCATCGCGTTAAAAAAAAAACGACTAGAACAGGAGAAAAGCTTCTGATTAGGTCGCATTGCCTAACCAGCTTCGCCAGGTCGCATTCCCTTCTTCTTTTTATTGTAGGTCGAGCTCGATGAACCGGAGGAAAGCTGCGGCGAAAGGCGACCTGGCGAAGCTGATATGGTGCTTCATCGGCGTGGTGGGCACGCTCATCATCTACGGCATTGGCCAGGTGCGTCGCTGCGACACTGATGGCCCATACGTGCTTCAAAGTTCGGTAAGGCGACCTTGCAGGGATGTGTCGCTGTGTCAAGGGCCGGCTTTTGCGTACCTTTGAGTTTCGACTCCTTACGACGAATTTTCTCCCATCAGCCTTGGCGCGTCATTTGTGTTGTGGGCTGTGTGTCCACCCTTTCCAACTCCGACTCCTGTAGTCGTTCTGAATTCCTGCTGTGCCGACTTAATTTTGTTGCATAGATCGGTGGTTTGAACCTGCTACGTGCTTGTAACGCAGGAGCGGATAATGAAGTTTCCGTACGGTGACAGGGACGAGGACTCAGAGTACTTCCAGCATTCACTCTTCATCGTGCTCTGTAACCGCCTCATGACGTGCGCTGTCGCAGTCATCGTGCACCTGGTGAGTCAGTCAGAACCTTTGAGTATCCTCTACTCCAGCATCTTACTCTTACTGTTCATCGTGCTATGTAACCGCCTCATGACGTGCGCTGTGGCGGTCATTGTGCACCTGGGGAGCCGATGCCCTTTGATTCGACTCATCATACTATAGCATCTTAATTTCCATCCTGCTCTGCAATGCAGCCGACTCATGTCAGTGCTCAGCGCAGTGCTATGATGAACCCACCTACCTACTTACAGGACGAACTAGACACTGTACAGCGTACATTATTCAGCTCATGAGTGTACCGTGTGCGACATCCATCATAATCATCCACTGCACAGTCCCGTTCGGTAAATATACAGTACATCGCACACTGCGCACAAACCCCACATCGTGTTCCATCCCAAACCATACACATGCAGGTGACAGGAGCGTCGCTGGCTCTAGTGGCTCCAATTTACGCCTATGGTGCTGTGTCCCTCTCCAATGTCATCTCGTCCGGGTGCCAATACGAGGTACGCAGCACGCACGCAGCACGCTGCAATGGTTGCTGTATTGGCTTTTGAGGCGCCTCAAATGGCTGGCTGGCGCTGTGTCCCTCTCCAATGTCATCTCCTCCAATATGAGGTACGCAACGCACCACGCACACTCACTGCACTGCAATGATCGCTGTTTTGGCCTTTGAGGCGCCTCAAATGGCGCTGTGTCACTCTCCAATGCCATTTCCTCCGGGTGCCAATACGAGGTACGCTGCTGCATTGATCGCTGAAATTTGAGTCGTCTCAAAAGTTTAATGTGGTTGTTGTGTTGCGCATGCAATATAAACGTCATTCACCTTTTTCCCCTTCCCCTTTGATTGAGAGTTTCGCCAACATTGTCCCTGTCTTCCCTCCCACCCACACACCCTTCTTGGACACTCACCCCAAACCCATCTTAACCCCACCTTAATCCTCCCAACCCCACCCCAATCCTCCCAATCCCACCCTGTTCCTCCCAACCCCACAAAAGGCCCTCAAGTACGTGAGCTTCCCTCTGCAGACCATCGCCAAGTCATCCCGCATGGTGCCTGTGCTGGTAAGCCCTGTGAACTGAACTGACCCAACCCAACATGTCTCCAGCACCACCTCATGCTGCACCGCCACCACACCATGCCACCACGTCACCCCATGCCACACCGCCCTAAACATTACTCTCGTGTACCATGCTTCTGCAACCATGCTGATGCAACCGTGCTGCTGCTTTTGCAAAACTGGGGCACGTTGATATCGTGCAAGCAGTACAAGCCCAGAGAGTACCTCATCGCCATCACCATCACCCTAAAACACTCTCTCCTGTACTCTCCTGCACCATGCTACTGCAACCATGCTAACCATGCTGCTGCAGATCTGGGGCACGATCATATCGCGCAAGCAGTACAAGCCCAGGGAGTACATCATCGCCATCACCATCATCCTCGGCTCCTGCCTCTTCTTCCTCAACGTGGTGTGTCTCCGCTCCCTTGTGTTTGTGTGTGTGTGTGTGTGTGTGTGTGTGTGTGTGTGTGTGCGCGCGCGCGCGTGCGTGCGTGTGTGTGTTTATTATCTGTCCATCCTTGTTTGTTGCCACATTCACTTCCTTCACCACTCACTCCTCCCAGGTCCAGTCTCTTTCCACTGTCCCTTCAAATATGTGACCTGAATAAGTTAGTGTTGACTCTTCCTTGCTTGCTTGTTCTCGGGGTCCACTTTGGCAGTCAAGAGAATTGCATGCAACCCTCCTCAGCGTGTGACCCTTCCTTCCTTCTTCCTTTCCCTTCCGTTTCCCTGCCCTCCCTCCCTCCCTCTCTCCCTCCCTCCCTCCCTTCGTCTCTACACACCCTATCTGCCGCATCCTCCCCCTTTTCTTCCCCCTTCTCCACCACCTCCCACTTCTCATCTCCCATACGGCACCTGTACACACGCGTGACTCGTCTCATCTCCATTCCTGCCACGGCCCATGCCCCGGGTCAAGGTGTCAAGACTGCGCGCACGAGTGTCAAGAGCACGTTCTCTGGCCTCATGCTCATGCTCGGATACCTAGGGTAAGGCGGTGCATGCGTGGGGTGTCTGGGGTAAGGCGGTGCATGGCTGGGATGAGATATCTGGGGCGGTGCATGGCTGGGATGAGATATCTGGGGCGGTGCATGGCTGGGATGAGATATCTGGGGCGGTGCATGGCTGGGATGAGATATCTGGGGCGGTGCATGGCTGGGTGACTGCCGCAGTGCGTGGGAGAGCTGGGGTAGGGCAGAGCGCGCATGGTATACCTGGGGTAAGGCAGAGCATGACTGGGATAGCAGGGGGCACAGCATGTGTGGGATACCTCTTTCTCCTTTGCTGCCGCTTACTCGTTCCCCTCTCCATCTCCCTCTCCGCCCCCTTCGTTTCCTCCCATGCATCGTTTTTTGCCTTGCCAATGCTGCCAAGAGCTAGGTAACTAACACATTTCAAGACAAGCATGTAGAAGGTTATAGCGTCCCTCGCTCCTCTCTCTCTCCTAGACATCATGAGCACGTCTCCCCTTTCCTATCCGCTGGCTTTCTGTGTGTCCCCTCATCCTCACTCACGGACCTCACCCTTCTCCCGCTTTCCCCTAGCTTTGACGGCTTCACGAACACGTTTCAAGACAAGCTGTTTGAGGGCTATGACATGCCAACCCCTCTCCCTCGCTCCTCGTCCCTCTCCACCTGTCCCCTCATCCTCATCACTCCGACCACCCGCTCCCCAGCTTTGACGGGTTCACCAACACGTTTCAGGACAAGCTGTTTGAGGGCTATGACATGCCGGCCGCCAACCAGGTGCTCTACATCACACTCTGCTCCTCCGTCATCAGCTTGCTGGGTAAGCACCTGCTTTCTGACCCAGATGCAGCGTTTATCACTGTCAGGGCTCGTGACACCGAGGTTTGCTGTTCTGACATCATGCTTCAATTTAGTGTCATCGTTTTTTTTTAGCCTTGCATTGCATACCCGCCTGTCCCGCACCAGGACTTAGCAGCGCCATTGCATTCATCATTCGTTCTTTCAAACGTCATCGTATTATTCTGTTCTGCGTTCATGCTGTATCGTCATATGTCTCACCCTCCTCCTGCTCATCGCTCTGCCTCTCTCGCCCCCACCAGGCCTGCGCCAGGACCTAGCAGCGGCCATCACATTAATCATGCTGTGCATCTTCTTGTGCTGTTCTGTCATCGTGTTGTGTTGCCTTGCCATACGCCATGCCCTCTCACTCACCCCCTACCAGGCCTGCGCCAGGACCTATCAGCAGCCATTGCATTCATCATGCGCCATCCCGACTGTGCCCTCCACATTGCAGTGCTCTCTGTGGTACGCCTTACGTTGGTTCTCTGTGAATAGTGCTTCTGTGATACGGTACGCCTTGCATTCCTTACGAACAGGGGTACGGCACGGCTCCTGTTGTTGATCCAGAAGCTGTCGTGCGTCGCAAGTCCGTTTGTTTCCCACTGGTACGCTTGAATCCAGTTATCCCTCCAGGCTGTGACTGTAAGCTCCATCTGGCGGTATCCCATCCATCTAGATTCTCATACACACTCCATCAACACACCACCCACTCCTCCCCTCCCCCTTCCTCCCACGCACTCCCTTCATCTACGACACACTCTCCATCAAGATAACAGCCGAATCTACCTTCCAAAGCCCCCCTTCAACTCTCCCCACCTCGCTTCACTTGTCCCACCACCCCACCAGGCGGCCACCGTCAGCCAGTTCTTCATCTCCCACACGCTCCATCAGCATGCCAGCTGAGTTTTGAGTCGACTCAAAACTCATCTCCCACACGCTCCATCAGCATGCCAGCTGAGTTTTGAGTCGACTCAAAACTCATCTCCCACACGCTCCATCAACATGCCAGCTGCCTGCACTCCCTTCCCCTCCCTCCCATCTCCCCCTACCAGGCCGCCACCATTAGCCAGTTGTTCATGGTAGCAGCCATTTCTCCCTCCCCCGTCTCTCCCCTTCCTTCCCCCACCTCCGTCATGTTCCCTCTTACCCCACCAGGCGGCCACCATAAGCCAGTTCTTCATCTCCTACACCATTAAGACCTTTGGTGCTCTCACCTTCGCCACCATCATGACCACCCGCCAGGTGAGTGCTGTGTGCGGTGTGGTGTGCTGTATGCATGTTGCGTACTTGCGGTGTGCATGTTGTGTGTGTGTGTGCATCTCTGCACGTGCATGTTTAATTGCCTTTGTCCGTTTTCTTCTCAAGCCATGCCCAAGTTACTCCTTCCATGTCACCTCTTCAATCAACACGTTTCCCTTTATGCAAGTCTTAATATGCTGAAGAAAGGGGTGTTAGAAGTGAGCTCAGAATCCATGCATTAGTAATGAGCTCAAGGCTCTTTAAGTACATTGGAAATGGGCAAGGTTAAGGTGGGGAGAGAATCGGGGGCAATCCTAGGGAATTGGGGGTAATCCCAAGGCAATCTCCAATTGGTGGGTTGGAGATTGCTTGAAGATCACATTTGGGTTTGGTTGGGATGTGGGTGTACACCCAACCAAACACAAAGTGCAAGCTACACTAAACTAGGATATAAAAAGTACAAGTACAAAGTGTGAGATTGAGGGCTAACATTAACAAGGGGACCCTATCTTATCCTTCTGCGCATCTCATGCCACATACTCCTAAATCATTGCTCTTTCTCTTGTTCATTCCCAATTCTTCCCATTCCATGCTCCTTTTCCGTCCGCCCATCCCTACCACCAGCTTCTCAGTATCGTGCTATCATCTACCGTCTATGGTCCGCCTCTCTCCTCCACACAGCAAGTCGGCACAGTAAGTGCTCACCCCTCATCCCAAGACTTACTCTGTCACCTCCGTCTCTCGTCAATTAGGCGTTCGTCTCCCCCAACTCCGTCGTCCCTGGCCGTTTTAAGCTTACAGCATTTTCCATCAACCGAGTTTCACCGCTTTCCCCAGAGGCTACCTCGCCTGGCTTCCCTTTCCACCAGAACCCCCGGCTTTTGTCGTCCTCGTGCGCTCTGCCCTCAGCCACTGCTCTTTGTTCCCACCACCGCACTCCCTACTGCACCACCGCACTCCCTACTGCACCACCGCACTCCCTACTGCACCACCGCACTCCCTACTGCACCACCGCACTCCCTACTGCACCACCGCACTCCCTACTGCACCACCGCACTCCCTACTGCACCACCGCACTCCCTACTGCACCACCGCACTCCCTACTGCACCACCGCACTCCCTACTGCACCACCGCACTCCCTACTGCACCACCGCACTCCCTACTGCACCACCGCACTCCCTACTGCACCACCGCACTCCCTACTGCACCACCGCACTCCCTACTGCACCACCGCACTCCCTACTTCACCACCGCACTCCCTACTGCACCACCGCACTCCCTACTGCACCACCGCACTCCCTACTGCACCACCGCACTCCCTACTGCACCACCGCACTCCCTACTGCACCACCGCACTCCCTACTGCACCACCGCACTCCCTACTGCACCACCGCACTCCCTACTGCACCACCGCACTCCCTACTGCACCACCGCACTCCCTACTGCACCACCGCACTCCCTACTGCACCACCGCACTCCCTACTGCACCACCGCACTCCCTTACTGCACCACCGCACTCCCTACTGCACCACCGCACTCCCTACTGCACCACCGCACTCCCTACTGCACCACCGCACTCCCTACTGCACCACCGCACTCCCTACTGCACCACCGCACTCCCTACTGCACCACCGCACTCCCTACTGCACCACCGCACTCCCTACTGCACCACCGCACTCCCTACTGCACCACCGCACTCCCTACTGCACCACCGCACTCCCTACTGCACCACCGCACTCCCTATTGCACCACCTCTCACCAGATGGCGGTCTTTCAGTGAACTCTACTTCAGAATTCCCCAAAACACCTCCCCAATGCGCTTACTCCCCCGCCCTACCACCCTTCACCTGGTGGTGGTTTTTTTGGTGCTATCTATCTACTACACTAGTGTTTCTTATAAATTTCAAGTACACCCTGCATCTGCCCATTCCACCCCCCTGCACCACCCTTCACCAGGTGGTGGTGGTGTTTGGTGCTCCCTATTACTTAGTGTCTTGTATTGTTTTCTTCAAATGCACTCCCCCACACACCCCTTTCTTAGGAAGTGCTCTTTGGTGCTCTCAATTACAAAAGAATTCGTGAGAATCCTCAGTAATGCCCTTCCCCAGAAACACCTCTCCCCAATTTGTGTATGCCAGTTCCACTCCCTTCCCGACAACCCCTTTCACCAGATGGTGGTATTCGGTTCTCTCTACTACAAGACAGTTCTTGAGAATCCTAAGAGACGCCCTCAACCTGCCCATTCCGCCCCCCCCCCTCCCTCTCTCCCCCTTCGCCACCCTTCCTCAGGTGGTGGTATTCGGTGCTCTCTACTACAAGAGCTGGTACGCGGTCACCAAAGCAGCAGCAGCCAGCCAATCAGCTTCCACCGCCACCAGTAGCGCCATCGGCAGCAGTGGCAACAGCAACAGCAGCAGCAGTAACCTTTTGGCTATAACAAACCCTAGCAGCAACACCACCCCCACCTCAGCTTCCACCCACTCCCATTCCTCCAATGCAGGTATAGAAATGGCGGGTAGTGCGAGTGGGGGCAAGGATCAGGAGAAGCTGGGAGTTGCAATTACCCCGCCCTCTAGGGACCTTATTAGCCCTTCCTCTGGTTCCTTGTTCAGAGTGCTAAAGAATAGATTGTCTGGGGGTGGCGGTAGTGGGATAAGGGAAGAGGAAGCGCCACTCATGGGGGGGAGAGATGGGGAAGGTGGAAGTGGGGTAGGCTCTTCTGACAAGTTGTGACACTAAATGAAAGAAACAATTGGAACGGGAAACGATTTCTCAGCAAGGATAAAATCTTGGCTGCTTAGTCATTGCAACTTCAGAGATATCTTGTTGGAAACAATCGGTCCTAAGCGCTTCTGTCGTGTCGAAAAACTAAGGCACAAGCGAAGCAAAGCATACCGAGGCACCAGCGAGTCAACCCTCGGAGGTTGAAGTAACCGCTGGAGGTTACGCGAAAGTCAAAGGTCTGCGACCTTTGACCTGACAAATACAGTGCGACAGCAAGGACACACAACTGACTCGCTACAGAGCAGTTGCCCGAGTCGTCACTGTATCGAACCGCAACAGCAACAAGTAAAACAGTTATAACCGTATCCTTTCATATTCCTTGTACTCTTATATAATCTTGTATCCTTTTGTTTTAATCAACTTACTTTGCCCTCACATACCGTACTAGCGCAAGGTGGTTCACAACTTCTTAATTAACGCTTCCGCTACTACACCAACTCTACCCAGAGTTCACCCCTGCAAAGATCTTAAGGGCTTTTTCAGCCTAACATGGTATGAGAGCTATCAGGGGGAATTCAACTTCTATACCGACAACACCAACAAGCATGGCTACACAAAAGGAAAGGAGCAACTCCAACGGCTCCCAGGGCACTACTCCTACTCCACCTCCTGCCTCTGGCCTACAGACAGAGGAGGACACGGCAACAAAACCCAGAGCAACATCTACCGAGACTCCCGCGAATCAACCTACAAACTTCGACCAGAGCATGATGGAGAAGTTTTTCTCCTTCATGTCCCTCTACGAGCAACACCAGCAATTGGCACCTGCGAAGTCACACAACAGTAACAGAGCAACACCAATGAGTCTCGACGGCTCATCGTATGCACGAGGAAATCAACAACAGCAGCCTACCTTTGCTCCGTACGAGCGCGGGTCCATCAGCTTTATGCCACACCCATAGCCTTCACTTGGACAAGAAAAATCACTGGACGCATTACAAGTTCAGTCGCAGTTCACACACGTCCTGAAGATGCAGACGGCAAGACCCTTCGATGGAAAGGACTTCTTCACCTGGTCGTTCGAGTTCGAGCTGATGATGGAAGGCGCACAGATACTCGGGTTGTTCGACGGGTCTCTGCCATATCCAACAAACGGCACACAGTACGAGAAGCAGCAATACACCTATCAGACAATGATGGCGTACACAATCCTACTGAGGAATATCACCCCGACTCAACAGCAGAACATAAGGTCTTACCGAGGTTACGGCAACTCCGCGGAACTCGCGTACAACCACCTGAAGAGCCTGTATCAAGCAACAGACAGCGTAAGCCAAAGTCGGTTAATGGCGCAACTGACAACGGTTGAAATGAAACCAGGGGAGAAAGGAATGGCATATATCAGTCGATGTCGCGAGTTGCGCGACAAGCTTCTTCGATGCGGAGGGTCGATTTCTGAAGACGCCTGCGTGACAGTCCTCATCGGCGGCCTCGGTCCTCAATGGCGCGCCACAACGGCCATCCTCCGAGCTCACGGAAGAATCTCCGAAGCAGCGCTCTGCTACGAAATCCACGCCGAGCAGCAAGACATGGACCTGCAAGAAGAACGACACAAAAAGAAGACATCAGCACCGGAATTCGCGTTCCACACTCAGCGACGCTACAAAAAAAACAACAACCGGCAGCAACAACCGAAGCCAGTACCTCCGTTCTGCCACATATGCAAAACTTCAGGACACATGCGTACACACTGCCCGAACCGTCAACAGTCAACAACTCCACAGCGGCAACTTCGACCTTCAAGTAGCCAAATCACCTCAACGCAAGCAAATCCCACGACTCAGATTCAAGCCTCAACGACTTCAACGGGACAACCTGCACAAGGAGCAAGAAACATCGTCAGCTGCATGGCAAAGCTGAGTGACTCCTGCATCACCGAGTCACCACCACACTACTCACCGGAAGAACAACTCGACGAAACCACACCCCGCCGCGAGTCACTTCAGCCGAACCCGACATACGCCGCCATCGCCCAAAGCGAACCATCCGGAAAGGACACATGGTTCTTGGACAGTTGCTGCGGACAGCACATGTGCTCCTCGGGATGCTTCGTTCAACGAGAACACCAACTTCAACGCGAAGTTGTCATTACAGTCGCCAACAATCAGAACCTGCGAACACGACGACAAGGCGTAGTCCAACTTCAGTCAAGGGAAACAAATGTTATACTGCATATGTCAAAAGTACTAATCGCGGAGGGACTCGGCTACAACTTACTGAGCGTCAGTCAGCTAATGGCGAAAGGGATTCACCTCGAAGCAGACAGAACCACCCAAGAATTCAAGCTGTATCACGGGAGAGGAGGACTTTACATCGGCAAGGCGGTCCTCAAAAACAACGTCTTCATTCTTGACTTCGTTCCTGTGTCAAAATTAGAAGGAAGAAAGAGGATTGAACTAGCAAGAATGAGGATACAAATAGCAAACCCTAGAAGGGTTGTACTCGCTATAGAGCACCCCACTACAGGCTAGAACAATAAGATAATATTCTGACACACCCCCATAGCCAAAGTGGGGTGTAATCAGCAGAGCAGGCAAAGCAAAACAAGCTCAGGGTGGATCACAATGTCACCACACATTCTGAGCACAAGTTCAAGAAGAAATAGTTTAGAGTTTACAATTATAAGCAAAGCTAGTGGTAGTCACAACGGGCAAGTGAGGAGGAGGAGGGAGAGTGAGGGGAGAGGAGACAGGAGGCGACGGCTGAAGCTGCAGACACACGGGCAACAGGAGGCAGACTGGCACAGCGGCTACCGGACAGCGCCCGGACTACAGGGGTAACAGGCCCCGCGGCTCAAATAGCGGCGGACGGGCAACGGACCCACGGGCGGCTGGCACAGCTGGCTACGACTGGGCTACCGGGACAGCGCCCCGGACTACAGGTGCTGCTGATGACAAACTGGCAACCTCCGCTCATCCTCCCGCACATAGTCCCACCCCCCCTGATACACACCCACTGCTACACCACTAGCTCTACTCCCACGCACCCCCCTAAAACCCTAAACCCCAGTCTCCCACACAACCACCCCCCTCAGCGACAGCTGCAGCAGTGGGAGACGAAGGAGGAGGAGGAGAAAGGGAGGAAGGCACACCGGCCACCCCCATACCCGCCACCCCACAGCAAGCGGCCCCCTCAGGTCGCCACGACGGACGACGGGAAATGGGGGAAGGGGAGAAAGGGGGGGGGGGCCCACCACGGACCTGAGGGGAGGGCGGGGCCGCGACAAGGGGCGGGGCCGCGACGAGCGGGGCGGGGCCGCGACGGTCGGGGTGGGACCGCGACGTAGGGTGGGGCCGCGACAGGTCGGGGCCGCGAAGGTAGGGCGGGGCCGCATAGGGTCCGGGGCGGGGCCGCGACGTAGGGCGGGGCCGCTTCGAGGGGCGGGGCCGCGACGCAGGGGCGGGGCCGCGACGAGGGGCGGGGCCGCGACGGTCGGGGCGGGGCCGCGACGGAGGGGCGGGACCGCGACAGGTAGGGCGGGGCCAAGCCGGCCAGGCGCACGGGCGGCGACGGGCCGGGGCGGGGCCGCGACGAAGGGCGGGGCCGAGCCGGGCAGGCGCACGGGCGGCGACGGGCCGGGGCGGGGCCGCGACGTAGAGGAGAAGCCCGCCGCGCGCCCCGGGGCGCACAGCGGGCAATGAACCGCCGCGCGCCTCGGGGCGCACGGCGGGCAGAAAACCGCCGCGCGCCTCGGGGCGCACGGCGGGATGAAAAAGTAGCAGCGGAAGCAAGGTGGGGACACACCCACAGGATCGATCCAAGGGGATCGACCTGCTCTGATAGCATGTCAAAATTAGAAGGAAGAAAGAGGATTGAACTAGCAAGAATGAGGATACAAATAGCAAACCCTAGAAGGGTTGTACTCGCTATAGAGCACCCCACTACAGGCTAGAACAATAAGATAATATTCTGACATCCTGATCTTGGCACCGCCGACAGCGACGCCATCGTTAACTTCACCAACTGGACACACCCTCCAGACCTTGATCCAGATTT